GAGGAGGTAGTAGTAAAACACATAGATGACATTGAAGATGATAACGTTATGCTGAATAAATGTGACGTAGGGTCATTGGACATCCTAATAAGGTGCGTTGATTGATGCCATTTGTCATGTGATTTGATAGATGTCACATGTCTTGTGACACTGCGAAATGTGAATATCGAAAGCAGTTGAAATACTTTTAGCTTTTACTTTGATTCTGGTTAGTTTTTTTTTCCTTAATTTGTATTACAGTAAGATGCATTCATTTTCGGACATTCTTAATAAGATGATTTGATGGATCCTACATGTCCTCCTGCAACTAAAATTTGTGGCTGAAATGTTTTTAGTTTTGAATTTGATCTCAGCTAATAGTTTTTTCCTCAATTTGTATTTTATATTTTGCATTTGGTTTGGTTATTAAAGTATGTGCATTATGTTCTAGTTGAATTTTTCATAAATATTCAACGTTCCATTTGTTTTAGAAAAATGAAAGTTATCTTTTGAAGATATCTGATCATTTGAAATTCTATCGGAAAATAAGAACATGGAAAAAGTGGCAAATGGTATTAAGCATGTCTATATGTCAAATTATTGTAAAAACTATATTTGAACACATTTTAATATATATTAGAAACACAATGGTACAAAATGATATATGTTTGAACAAAGATGAGATGAAATCCAAAACTAGGTTGTTGTTGTGTTTAACATAATGTATACTTTATGGAAAAACATCTTGAATGTTGTTCTAAAGACTTTTACATGCATTTTATGCCGTAGAATTATAATGGAAGTACAATAAGGTGCTGTTTGTTTTTTCTGAGGCAAAATGTCTGCAGTCTGCGGACCACATCTGTAGACCTCTGCAGTAGAAGAGGTGGACCAAACGTCTGCAGTCTGAAAAAAGAAGACTGTTTGTTTTTTTAACATTTGCGGGCTATTAAAATAAACTGAAATCTAAATAAACTGGTTTTTTAAAACTTCAAGGCGAATTTTTTTATATATTTTTACGACTTTATTATAAATATATAACGAATCTAGATCAACTTTTATGTATTATTATATAAAAAATAAAAATAAAAATGGTATTAATTCATATACATATTTGATAAAAACCAACAACTTTGATTGCAAAGTTATAACTAAACATTATAATTAGTGATCAAAGAATTTGATACATAAATAGATGGAAATAAACTTCGATTTTTTCAAATAAATCTATTAAAAACGTACGATAAATATTTTCTCGAGAAATTGATGATACTCTATTAAATAAAGTTTTACAAAATTTTGGCAAAAAAATATAAGAATATATTATGATTTTTTTTTTCATATTTATATAAACAAATTCAACGACTATTATTATAATAAATTTTTATTTATAAATTTGTTAAAAATATCATGTTTGTATCGTCAAATGTTTTTTTTTAAGTTTTGTAATTTTTTTTTTCATATTGTTTATCATTAATAAAGTTGGAAAAAATATAAATTAAAAAAAAACTTAAAAAAAATAAAGATATATATGTTTTTTTAAGCTAGAAGATGTTTGAAGATGTTAGAAGACTCTGGTCCACATCTGCGCCAAGAAGAGGGCGCGCAGACATTTTTAGGTCTTCAGTCTTCAAAAAAACAAACAGTCTGCGAAGACTAATGTCTGCGCGTGGTCTGTGCGGCGCAGACAGAAGACGTCTCGCTGATCTGCAAACAAAAAACAAACACTACCTAAGTAATATGAGACCTATAGGTATGAAAAATTGCTTGAAATAGGGTTCTCAACACTAATACATAGACCAAGTAAATCCCATACCAATTCCCACTCTGACCTAGTATAAGAAATTTTTTGAACTTTGTCTTGTGTTATTTATGAGGACAACATAAAGGTGCATAATATGATTCTTGGATCGTGTAGAAACGTTGATGTGTCATTAATTGGCATATAATGATGTTTTAACCAAGATTAGTGTCAATTTAATCCCAGATCATTCCCAAGACACAAGTCTTGTAAATTTGTGATTAATATGTTTGTGTTAACTCCAAATTAATGATTTTAAATGTTTTTTTTTTTTTGAAGATTAACAACATCCAAGGTTGAAAAATCAAGGTAATCATCATCTTATACCCTTAAATTTCTGAAATTGTGTGAATTAAGGTTTGTTCATAACTATCAGTTGGTGTAATTAAGCTTGCATGATGAAATTGGAGTTAGAATATGAAGGATGAGTAAGATTAACAACTTATTATGCTAAAACAAGATGATTAGAGCGTAAATTGTTGTCTTTTGTGATAATATAACTACAAACACTTGATGATGTTGAAAGTGAGCAAGTGTTAAATTATATGACAGTTATAATACACTATAAATATTAGAACTAGTATTAACCAAGAATATGTCATTGCAACTGTAGTTGTTATATCTTAACCATTGATGAGAATTGGGTGTTTAACTAGAAAAGTCAATCTTGGATTTATATATTGAATTATCTATTAAATTGATTCCATTAAAGAAAAATGAATGTAAAAACCATGTTAGTATAAGAGATATGGAAGTATGACATTGCTTAGAAGTGTCGTATAAAATGAACAAAACTATAGAAGTGGCTAACAATTGGAAATATGACATTGATTAGAAGTATCATATAAAATGAAACCATAACATCATCATCTTCAAAAGATGCACAATTTATTTAGCCCTTATGAGGTTAGTTGTCACTATGTGTATCTAGGATTCTAGGGTTCTAATAGAAGTTTTTTCTTTAGTGAGATCAAAACCCTAGACATCATGTAGAAGCTAGACCTTAACTATTGGTGGTGACTTTGTTTGAATGTTGATACTATTGGAGATGAGTGGTCCTTTCGGCTATGTAATTTTCAGTTTTACAACAAGTGATTGTAATAAGATATAACGTATCTAAATCTATTATAGTTGTTCTTATTGTTAGACATTTTTTAGAGAAAAGAAACCAGAAGATGTGGTTAGCGTAGAGTTAACTAATCAATATGTTTAATTTAATCAATCATTTTACATTTCAAGTCATCATATTCCACCATATGGCACATAAGGCTAGGGTGAGAAAAAACCGAATTGCAAGATGAAAAATCGACATTAAAAAACCAAACCAAACAAATAACCAATGGTGTGGTTTTTATTTTGTAAAAACCAAGTATTTGCAGTGTGGTGTAGTTTTCCGTTAGATGAAGCATTGAAAAAAACCGCACCGCACCATTCGTAAAAACCGCACTGTGTGATCTTTTAAATATCTATATAATGTATATTACCTATTTAATATTTATAAAATATATTATTATTTTCATGTTTTTTTTTTCAAATACAGTTAACTAACATAAGTCAAGAAACGAGATTTCACTTTCAACCTAAGTTCCAAACATAGATGACGATTTAGTTCCAAGACTTACGATATGCATATTTTTCCAAAGAAATATTATTTTAAGTCTTCTTAAATATGTTTTATCTACAATTTTGATATTTTCTACCATTTTAGTCACTAACTAGCCACAAAGTCGCTTTACATTTGTGTTCGTCTTATTTTAATCCCAAAGAAATATGGATAGAATTCACCGGCGTTGCGGTTTTAAAACCGCTCCAATGTAAAAACTTCACCCTAGCTATTGAGGTTTATATAAACCGAATCGCAGTTAAAACAACAAATCGCACAAAAACACAAAACTGAATCAACCATAAACCGCACCAAACTGCATCACGTTCACCCCTACATAAAGACCCCAATGCAATAGTTTTTACAAATGACAACTTCAATTAACAATATACTACTAATAAGCCATCATATACGCATGGTTTTTCAAAACTCATCTTCTTTAACATGACATCCTTACATCGCAACATCTTAACTCCTGCTTAGTCGTTACTCTAATTTTTTATTATAAGTTTATAACATACTTTCAACATCCATTAAAATTTATCACTTGTCCACTTTTATCTCATTCCTTTAGGATTTATATCCCTTATATAACATAAGAAACGTAAATCAACTCGCTAATCACTAATTTCAATCTCAAAGTTACCTTTGAATATGTGTTTTCCAAATGATCATTGTAATGTTTAGAAATTTAATTATTTGAATTAAAAAGAATTAGATCATTACCCAAAAAAACAAAAAACAAAAAATTGGAAGACTTTATTTGGGAATTAAAATAGATGCAAGTTGTTTTGTTGTTGTAAACCAAGATGGTTAGTTCTTTTAAAGACGTTTTTCTAAAAAAAACAAACAACTATTGGCTCTTAATGTGGAGTTCTCCTTCAATTCCCCAATATTCCCACTTAAATCATAAGAGTTTTCTTATAAAACTCAAGATACATCTCTTAGATACTTATTTAACACTAAAGTAGCATTGAAAATAATCACCTAGACAAATTCTTGTACTTAATAAACAATTGATTAAGAAAACATTAGTTACCACTAACTTTATTAAATCAAATCACAGTAATACCATTTGCTTGTTTTAATTCCATTGTAGTTGCATTTAATTATATTATAGTTTAACTAATAATGAAGGGTATTTTAATAAAATATATTAAATACACTATTATTTTGAGAAATAGAAATATATGTTTATTTAGAAATAGACTACTATTTTTTTAGACAAACAAAAAGAAAACATAGATATCAATATGGTCGGAAGAAATATATAATATGATGTTATATATATATATATATATATATATATATATATATATATATATATATATATATATATATATATATATATATATATATATATATATATATATATATATAGGTAAATGTTTAAATGAGAATCACAAAAGAATAAAAACCCTAAAAACTTCTAATTGTAGCTTTTTAAAATAAAATACTGGCATTATTGTAAATAACAACACATATCAGTTTAGTTTCACAAATAATTTATCAGATCTTGCAAACTAGATCTAAAAGCTAGATCTGATTCTTTCTTTCACAGTTCTCAAAAAATCAACCCATCAATTCTCTCTCTTATTCCACCGGTGGCAGGAACCTTTAGCCGCCATCGCCGCTGTTGCCGATGTCCACCTCGCCGGAATCCAAGTTTGCACTGTCGTCGTCATCCAGATGTGTGATTTCTACCCGAGATCCACCTGATCGAACCACCAGATACATAGCTAGCTTTGTCCTCCTCCACCTTCAGAGCTATGATGTTTGCTGGTAGCTGCCACCACCGACGACATACCTCTTCTGACGATATCATCTTCTTTATCCTCCACCGTCACTCCACCAGATCTACAACCATATCCATCATTTTCTCTCCGTTTTCTTGTGAACCAATAAATCTACATCAGATCTCTCTAGATCTGGATCAGCTCTCATTAGATTTGCATCGGATATCACTAGATCTGATGTGTTTGCGCATTTTCAATTCGGATCAGATCTGGTCGGCGTACCAGATCTCGAGATTAACAAAGTTTCGAATGCCGGATCTACTGCCTAACACCAAATCTTCATCAAATCTGATGTGTGTGTGATGCATTTCATGTATGGATCAGGTGTATCTGGTGCATTTCATGTTGGCTTGCATCAGATCTGGTTTTTGAAGATAAATATTCAAAAAAATCAGGCATGTCGATTTTTATAGATAAATCTCCTTTAAGTTTTATCTTTTACTTGTTTTTCTACTTACATCTGTTGCAAATCTCTATGATATATTTTTTTTTGTTGTTTTTTATGTTAAAGTGTGAATTTGATATTTTAATCTCTCATTTATTGTATAATTGTGTTAATCTTAGTTTTAACTGCTGTTAAGTTATGAATGTATAATTTTTTTTAATTAAACTTTGAATTTTTTATACTCGTTTGTGGATTTTCTATATTAAATTGTGTATTAATTGTAATAAGTGTTTTAATTTAGTAATATGGATGTGAATACTATTTTTTGTATTAAAATGTGAATTTAGTGTACTAAGCTGTGATTTTTGTGTTTTAAACTGTGAATTGATTGTATTAAGTTATGAATTTTCTTTTTATGCTACGAATTGACTGTATTAAGCTGTGAATTTTCTGTTTGAACTGTAAATTGACTAGATTAAGCTGTGAATTATTTATATGAAGCTATGAAGTTACTTGTGTTAATTTAAACTATGAATTTTGTGTATAAACTTTGAATTGAATATATAAAGAGTGTTAAGTTGAAAATATAGTTGTGGATGCTTACTTTTCGTGTATTAAACTTTTAATTTTGTGTACTAAACTATGATTTTTGTGTTTTAAATTGTGAATTTTCTTCTTAGATTATATTAAACTGTGATTTTTGTGTTTTAAACTGTAAATTGACTGTATTAAAATTTGTATTTTCTTTTTAGACTATGAATTGACTATATTAAGTTCTGAAATTTTATATATTAAATTATGATTTGATTGTATTAAGTTGTGACATTAAGTTGTGATTATTTTATAATTTTTTTGTTTGCTTTTGAAATAATGTAAATTTTATTCACAGCTTAATATATTAAATTCACAATTTAAAATACGAATGATTTATGTATAATTTTTTTTATTAGTTTTATTCTGAAATAATTATTTTTTTGTGTTGTATAAGTATATAAGAATACATTAGTTTTAATAATAGTTTTGTGTTAAATTCAAATTGAGTGAAATAAATGGTTTTATTAAATTGTAAATGTAGTATTTAAGTTATTAATGTATGACTTTATTTACATTTAGAAGAAAATGATAGTTGCGATGCTAGTACAAGTGGTTAATGGCAGCATGTGGTGGTGGTGGTAGTAGTAGAGTTTGAAGTTTTGATTTATTTCAGTTTGTGAATTATTGTAAAGTGGTTTGCACTAAGTTGTGAATTAAACTATAAATGAATTGTATAAACTTGTAATTTATATAAGTTTTGTGTTCAAATATAAGAGCATATAAGAATGAAAATATTATACTGTAAAAATTACCATTTTCCCCTTTTCGTATCAAAAAAAGAAAAAAAAATTGGATTTTCACATGTTTAATAAGAATATCATATAAGTATTTACTAACTAATGAAGATTCTTAGGAGGTTCTCATTTAAACCACTCCTTATATATATATATATATATATATATATATATATATATATATATATATATATATATATATATATATATATATATATATATATATATATATATATATATATATATATATATATATATATATATATGAAAAGTGAATATGTGTAACTAAATTTGGGTATAGAACCCTTGAAACGTGGTCGTTTATATAAAATCAATTAACACTTCTTTCTTTTAGTTTCTCAAATTATTCAATAATGTTTCCATTACCATTTCTTCTTTTTATCCATTTTTAATTGCTCTGAACATCATTGTGGAGTTCATTTCCTAATGAAAGCAAAAGTCATAAATATTTACTATGGCGTTGGTAAGACCGAACTTTACCAATCAATATATGTGAAAAGTTTAGAAAGATAAGCTAAACCCGTGTCCAGTTAAAAGGCGGATAAATCCAAATTAATGGATTGGAAAATATTAATCATTTATTTTATTTTATTTTATTTTATTTTTATTAAAATTATAGACAAAATACTTAATTTTTTTATGCATGTTCTCTATTTAAAGTCGTGCACTGTGAGTTTTTTTATTCAATTTAATAGAGATGTTGCTTTCTATCTTTCGTGCTACAATGTCTCTTTATTTCTTTCTTATGTTCCAGAGAAGTCCCACAAGAAACAAACTTTTTGTGTTTACTCCATTAAATTTCAGCCTTCATACTTAAAGCGTACACGATGACATTTATTTAATCCAAAATCACTTCCTAGAGAAATCTTTAACTTGCACGATCGAAGACTACTAAGCAATTAAACTTCTGCATCGCTCGAATGATCGGGTCTCTCCCCTAATTAAACCACTTAAACCTTATCATAAAGGTTGAAGGCATTATATATAACTATTTAAGAATTGATGGATATGTTTGCTGATCTCTTCATGTTTTTCTTCATGAAGAAAATGACCTACACCTTGAAGCACGGTTACTTCGTCCAAAAGAGGCACATCTTTTGTAAACCCTCCTTTTTCTATATAGTCTCTAGCACCCATCGAGTTGTAGGTCAGGTCAAGGTCACCCACGATGAACTTAACAGGTACCTTCACTTGAGCTCCGGTCCATGGGCCAGTTAGCTCCCAGTTCCTGTAAATCCACAAAAAGAGTTTTCTTTTTGTCCATTTTTACTAAATTAAACAAGTTCAACTTAATTAGCTAGTTCGAATCTAACTTACAAGTTCAAAGCTCGATAGTAGTTTAGACCTCCGGTGAAGCCAGTTTTCTCATATTTGCTTGTGTAGTATTCAAGATCTTCTTTGGACATCCATGAAGGCAAGATTATAGGATCATCAGGTGAGGTTCCGAACCCAACACCCTTGGGTAGAAAAAGGGGGGCAGGTTTGCGATAATTAAAGAAATTATTTAATACTCTATCTGTACCCCATACCGCAAATTCACCTTCGATTTCTCCAGGTTCCTAGAACATATTCATATGCATACAGAGTGGTGAAGGATAGTTAAAAAGTGACGCAGGTGGTTGTGTGTGGAGTGTGGTGAAGGTGTTGCTGATGGGAGAATTGAAGAAATAGAACCTGAAATCTGATGATGTAGTAATCGTTTCCATAGAGAGCACGAAGTCCATCGATAGGTTTGAACTTAGGATTCCTTGGACTGAAAGGAACACTCATATTCACCAAGGCCTTTACTTTATCTGGCCGATAAAGACATAAAGCCCAGGCAATCATTGCACCCCAGTCATGTCCAACTACGAACACCTTGTCCTCGCCCGGGGCCACCACGGTGTTGATGAGCGCCACCAGATCTCCAACCACATGAAGGGTGGTGAACTTGGTGGGATCGGAGACTGGAGCACCAGTGGTGTCACCGTAGCCACGGAGATCGGGTGCCACAGCACGGTAACCATGTGAGGCGAGATAGAGAATCTGGTGTCGCCAGGTGTACCAGAGCTCTGGGAAGCCATGGATGAAGAGGATCGTTGGCCCTGTGCCAAGCTCTGCTACATGCATGTTTATGTCGTTCACTGCTACCATCTTGTGTTGTATCTTCTCCATTTTTGTATTACTGTGTGTGTTTTGTGGTTTTTTTGGTTATGTGTGTAAATGTTTTTGAAAACTAGTGTGTGGATATATACTCCTGATGTGTGGTTCCTGTAAGATGTGGAAGATGTGAAATGGCGGCCCTTTTAACGAAAACATTTATTAATTTTTAAAACATAAAGTAATATATACTAGGTTCTTACGTAAAAGTGAATCAATAATACATAAATATATTTTTCTAATCTAAACAGAATTATATTCGAGTTCTTTATGAAAAAAGACAAAAGTGTGATCCAATAAATTATATTGTGTTTATTGAGTTTTTAATCTAATACTAGTGATTACAAAACTTAATTACTAGATTATTGTACTTTAAACTTTATTTACCAAATGATGGTAAAAAACAATATGGCCCCACTTTTTATTCAATAACACTGTTAGGTATGTTCAAGGTACACGACGTTTTTGTAGTAGACACCCATAATGGAAGGAACATCGTCCCGACTAGCTGTTATGGTAAGCCTCATTACCACTACAACAACAAACAACCTATACCATATAGGGATGAGCAGTGGAAGCGGGTACGTGCTTTCGGAACCGGAACCGCCTCAGAACTGTCAGTTCTGGAACCGGAACTACCTTAGGCGGTTCCGGTTCCAGTTCTTAAAGTCTCAAAACCGCCTTAAGCGGTTCCGGTTCGAATTATCATTTTTTAAAAACCGATACCCGCTGGATATCCGCCGGTTCCGGTTCCAATACCGGGTACCCGAAACCGGCGGTTAACCGGAACCGGTACCCGCCTCTTTAATATATATATATATATATATATATATATATATATATATATATATATATATATATATATATATATATATATATATATCTAATATTAATATTTTAGAAAAAGAAGGGGGCGTAAATTCCTCTTGCCTTATCATTTTTAGGGTTTGTGATTTGTGACTGAGAATTCATTCTCACAAAAAAAACGCAAACACTCACACAGTCACACTCCCCTCTCGCTATCGTAACTTCGTATTTCGTAAGGTGCCGACACAGCGACACTCCAATCTCCCGTCTCGCAATCCTTTGATTCCCTGGAGTAGATTAGTAGAAGACGAAGGTAGACAGTGGACTCATTCGATTCTTAGACCCCCGCTTAGTCGCTCACGTTGTTTTGTCTGTTCAATCGACAAAAGAAGAAAGCTAATTGTCGATGCAATCGCCGACCATCGCTGTAAGCTTACAACTACAAGGTTAGATTCGAAGTCTCAAATAGTCAAACTGTTACCTTTCAGAGATCAAGATGGGTAATATAGTCCAATTTGATTCAGCTCCTGCCTCTATGAAATAAACATAAACTTTCCATTGGATATGGAATGAAATAACTTATAGTTTTATACGTATGTGTTTTGATTTACTGATTTAGTGCCCTGTATATGTGTTTTGATTTACTGATACCCGTGCCCTGTATATGGAAGGAAATAACTTATAGTTAATAATCCTTTCAACTTAAATGCATAACAACGACTGTTTAAGAGCTTAAACTAAACCCAAGCCAAACCCTATTTTAATTTATTGAGTTATTGTACTTAATAGCTCATATGGACATGACATGTAATACTTAGAAATTCACTATTTTTTTTTTTTTTTTTGTGTTTTGTGGTCTCAAAAGTTCATTGTATATTTGGTTGTTATTGATTTATGTTTGTTGTCTGAAATTTTAGGTTCAACAATGGAAAGTAGTCGAATTGATGTTGACTTGGATGGTGAAAGTGAGGCTGTTGAGCAAAACAAAGTGCCGGTAGTTGGGGGCAAAAGGACATCAAACGCTTGGCGCAACTACACAGATGTTAGAGATCCAAAGACGGGCAAGATTATAAAGGCGCAATGCAAACATTGTTCCAGAATCTTGACAGTTACTACAAAGAATGGTACATCATCTTTGGGTAAACATAATGTTGTATGTTTACAGAATCCTGATAATATTGATAAAAAAACAAAAGAAAATTAGCACTTTAGAACAAGTCAAAGTGATGCGACTACCGTTTCTAATTGGGAATTTAACCAAAATACAATCAGGCTTGCTTTAGCAAAAATGATTGTCATTGATGAGCAACCATTTTCATACGTTGAACGTGACGGGTTCAGATATTTTTGTAGTGTTGCTGTTCCACAGTTTTGTATCCCATCACGTTTCACGGTTGCTAGAGATATTAGTAAAGTGTTTCTTTGTGAGACGGAGCAATTGAGAAATACCTTGAAAAGTTTGAATTCTAGGATTGCTCTTACTACTGATTGTTGGACTTCTATGCAAAATTTAAGTTATATGTGTTTAACTGCTCATTTTATTGATGATAATTGGAAATTACATAAAAGAATTTTGAATTTTCGTAATATTGATAGTCATAAAGGAAAGGAAATCGGGAAAGAAGTAGAATCTTGTATTCTTTATTGGGGTATTGAAGAGAAGTTATCTTGCATCACTGTAGATAATGCAAGTGCTAATGATGTAGCTGTTGCTCATATAAAAGACAATCTAATGGATAAACTTGTCTTAGGAGGTGAGTTTTTCCATATGAGATGTGCCGCCCATATTTTAAACTTGATTGTTAAAGATGGTCTCGATTTGATTAAAGATGCCATTGTTAGGATTAGGGGTGCAGTTAGATATGTTAGGAGCTCTACAGAAAGATCAAAATTGTTTGATACTTGTGTATCAAAATCAAAAATTTCGAGTAAAGCATCGGTATCTCTTGATGTACCAACACGGTGGAACGTCACCTACATTATGTGTGGAAACGGCACTTAAGTTTGAGAGAGCTTTTAAAAGAATGAGACAAGAAGACCCCGCATTTGAGAAAGATCTTAAAGATGGATTTCCATCCCAAAAAGATTGGGAAAGTGCTAGAAATTTATCTCTTTGTTTGAAGCAGTTTTTTGAAGCCACGAAAAGGATGTCGGGAACTTTGTATGTTACGGCTAATATGCACTATCATGAGATATTAGGTGTACTTGCTTCCTTGTTGGAGTGGACACAAGATGAAGATATCAATATTGTTCTTATGGGTGATCAAATGAAGAAAAAGTTTGACAAGTATTATGGAGACTTTGGAAAAACAAATGTGATGGTGTTAGTTGCGGTTGCACTTGATCCAAGGTATAAGATGAGGTTTGTGAAGTTTTCTCTAAGAAAAATCTATCCTTTAGACTTCAAGAAGGTTGAAGAGCTATATGCTCAAGTGTTTGAGGTTTT